AAAAAAAAAAAAAGAGGTATTTTTCTTCTCATTTTATTTTTGTTTGTTTATGGTATAATTATAGTGAGTGAGTGTAATAAGTTTAGTATGGCCCATCACATGAAAACGAGTGTGATATAGTTTGGCACTGTAGCAGCAGAATAGCAAGGTGGCTTCTGTACAGCCTAGTGAACTTGTTATAGTCGTTTTTAGAGTTGTCCTTAATTACTTGGGCATGGACTGAATTGATTGAATGTGGGCTTAGTTGTGTGGCCAATTGAATTTATAGTGCCAATGTAAATTCAACAGTTGCCATTAATGAGGTACGTTGCACCGCTTTTTTGCACAATTCTTGATTTTGGTCTTTTGGGTATCGAAATTTGAAAGTTGAACCCGGAAAAGAATTTTGTTGTGGCTTTTATTTTATTTTATTTTTTTTTCAAACGATAAACTTTTTTATAAGAACTAGTAAAGTGTAAGTGCGATGCACGTGGTGTCGAATGAATTTCACTGAGTAAGTTTGTAAAATAAATTAATTTATTTATTAAACATATCATCGCAGAAATGAATATAGAACAAATGAACTTATATGTGATTTTTTTATTTAAAATTAACGTAATGATGTTCTGATATAAAAAGAGTGAAATAACGTTTTACAATTCCTAACAAAAATATATATAAAAAAAAATAAAATAAATCCCTAATGAAAAAAACACAAAGATTTTTTTTTTTTCATTTTGGTTTTGACGTTCTAATAAGAAACATTCAGAGCCGTTGGAGTCTCATACATCAATACTATTGCAAACCTCTTAATTAATTTGGCAAAGCGCCAATTTTAGTCTAACACTTAAGAAACACTAGTATGTAACCCGTGCGATGCACGGGGTGTATTTATTTTGGAGAATATTAAAAATTAAAATATATTAATAAATAAAAGAGTGATAATTCGTGGAAAATTATCAAACCATAAAATGTTCCTCATGCAAAAAATTATATTATTTAAACTTTGTTGTACACAACATTATTTGTTCAATAACTGAACAACTCGTCGTCCCCACAAACTAATATTTTCAACACTTTTTTATTATTTACACGCGAAACAAACAACATAATTCTCCGTGACTAAAAATCGATTTCTTTAAGAACATGCCATCGTACAATAAATGTTGACCTTGACTCTTCTTGATCTATTACTTAACATGTCAACGTACAATAAATGTTGACCTTGAATCTTCTTGACCTATTACTTACACGTGTAACAACATATAATTGGTCGTGATCAAAAAAAGATTTTTTAAGAACATGCCAATGCACATCTCTTATCTATTACTTACTCGTAAAAACAACATATAATCGGTCGTTGCTAAGGACCGATTTCTTTAAGAATATGCCAACGCACATAAAGATTGACCTTGATCTTAAGTGGAACCCTAAGATTAGAAGTAACTGGTTCTCTAGAACTTAAATGAAATCCTAAGATGGATCTTTTTGGAATATGATAGTTTACTTAGGCAGTCAGACAATGAGTTGTTAGTTTAATATTGATTATGCTTGATTAGCTATATAATATTCTCACTAATATTTCTATATTTTTTTATACAAAAAGATTGACCATGACTGTTAAATGGAACCCCAAAATCAGAAAAAACTGGTGCTGCTGGAACTTAAATGGAAGTTTAGAATGGATCTAATTATAATATGATAATATATACAACAGTTGGACAAATTAGTTGTTAGTTTATCATTTAATATCGATTATACTTGAATAGCTAAATAATATTCACTAATATTTTTATAGTTTTTTATTTTGTTTAAAAGAACAATAAACATGTATGTTTAAAATATTAAAACACTAAACTGTTATACAACGTGTGTAAGATTATCTAAAATATACTATATTATTTTTAAAAAACGTAAGGTCACCTTTCTAAATTATTTTATAAGTAAACCATGTCTAAGAAAAAGTTCAACACCCACACATATATACACAACATGTTAAAATATACAAAATAATACATGTGAATAATATGTATTAAAGTCTAAAAAATATTAGTAATTATATTTACAAAAATATGTATGAATAATACAAAACATTAAATATTACATCACACTAATTTTATGAGAGAGATTATATATAGTAGATATAAAATATAAAACATTAGTGATTAGACATTACTTCACGCTAATTTTTTTCAAGTCGAACAATTTTTAATTAAATGTGTGAGAACTTGTTATATGTTTTCAAACAGAATAATTTTTAATTGGACAACTTTCCCATTATATGTGTGACAACTTTTTAGGTAGTAAATTTATATATATATATATATATATATAGATTTTTGCAATAAATTTATATTTTGTGTATACAAAAACAAAAAATCAATATATTATATACAAAATTTTGAAAATTTTCCTTTTAAAAACAATTGACAAAAAGAATACCAATAAAGGGAATTGGTGTATATCTCAAAAAAAAAAAGATTTGTATATATCTCATATAAAATTATTCATTTTCAAAATCTGCTACAATGAAAAATATATTTAAATATTAATATAAATATATTTAGATATTAATATAAAATTTATATTTTGTAATTGTTGGTTCTAATAAATATGATAAAATAAAAAAAAATCCTCAAAAATGAGAATTCCAAAATTGACGCCATGTAAATTTAAATATTACTACAAAATTGTTTTTTTTTTTTTTGTTGTGTGTGTATGTAACATATATGCTAATTCAAATCAATGATTCCAATAAATCTATTAAAATAAAAAAGAATCATTGATAAATAAGAGTTCCAAAATCGGCTACATATATATAATTATTTACATAATCTTTGCCTACAAAACCACTATCAACGTAATTAAAAAAAACAAAGAATCTACTAAACCAAACACAAATCAAAAATCGAGTTATATGAAAATTATGCAATTAATGATTTATTTTTTTATTTAGATCATATTATATTATTTCCATCTATAGTAAGTAATTAACCATTTTGGCGGAAAATGCTAATAAAATGTTCTGGTATGAAAAAAATCATATGTTATTAAAAACCTAACAGTATACAACATTATTAGTTTGATTATTGGGTACACTACCATAAAATGATAAAATTCCAATGTAAATCTAATCCAAAAAAAATTATTCCAACGACAATTCCAACTCCAACGGATATTTCAATACTATTATTTCCGTTGGAAATTTTCAATGGATTCCACCGGAAATTCCAATGGAAAATTACTTGGTCGGTCGATACGATACTATTTCTGAGTTCAGTGGGAAGAAGCTAGTGCAATTCAATCCATCCGGCTTGCACGGCTTAGGGAAGGAAGTAAGTTGCAAACCCAGCCTCCTAAAAACGATCTACTAAATTCAACAAGTTGTTCCAAAGAATCAAAACGGCCAGTTATTAATGGAATTCCTTGTCGGCTCTCTGTGAAATGCTCGTTTGGCCGATGGCTTCCAAATACATCATAAGAAAAACTGGTGCTCTCTAAAGAACTGAAGACGTTTCCACAAAAATCCCTGGGAACATTGGAATTTTCTTTGGATTTTAACGATTCCAAACGGTGGATTTTTCAACGGGGTGGAAATAAAAATTTCAACGGAATTTGCATATTCCAACGGTAAAAAAACCATTGGAAATATAGACGTTGGAACCATCAAATTTTTATTGATACTCACTCTTGTTTATCGTCATGACAATATAAATGAGTGTTTATCTAAAAAACTTAATCTTTGAAATGTAGTGATCATGTGTTATTTTTTAATCTCGTGACTGATAGACTCTTTTATTAATTAGTTGGTTTGAATCAATATATAATAAATTTTGTTGTCAATCATTATTAATGTTTTTAAATTAATTTGTGTAAATGCATAAATAAAAAGAGACCTAAACTATGAAAAAAATTTCATCTTTTGAAATCAAATAAATGACAAACACTATCTTTTAAAATAAATAATGGTAATGATTATAACATTGTATTATCAAAACCGGCAAGGTATATAAAATTCGTTTTCCTTTTCAAAACCGGCAAGAAAAAAGTCTAATTGGTGAAAAGATGATATATACAAATCCTGATTTTAGAAATCTGATATATACAAATTTTAGCATGCGGTTTCAAACAATTTAATAATATAATAATAGACTGAATGAATTAGGATTCAGATTCATGCAAAGAAAATTTTGAACATATTTCTAAAATCATGATATATACAAATCATAATTTTTCTTGATAATTTATTCGAATTTTCAAATTGTTTGGAAATCACGATTTCTAAAATCATGATTTATTCGGATTTACATTCAAATTTCAAAATTGTTTGGAAAAATAGGAGATTTATTCAGATTTTGATTCCTTATTGGTTACCAATATAAAATTATTTGATGTTATTCCTAAAAAAAGGGAAAAAACTAATTTACTATTCTTAGGAGATAATTAATGAAAGTGGCAGGAAATTGTTTCTAAATTTGATTTATGTTTGTTAGTATATGTGTCCTAGAGACAATCATTTTAAGGACATATATGCATGATCACATTAATAAATATATTAGATTATAATTATGGTATTACAATTAATTAAATAATTATTTGATTGTTTGCAATTCATTAATTAATTACTCCCTTGAGTTGATACTGTCATTAACAAAGTGGGATGTTAATTGATAAAGTATAACTTTCAAATCGCCTCAATCGATGATCATTAAGAAAGGGATAT